TGCAAACCCACAGCTGAAATTATCTTTCATCTCCAAGCACGGAGTTACATGAGCAATCGCTCTTCCTAGAAACCATTTTTTTTACTGCCTGATATTCTAGTAGAGGGAACAAAAATGATAATAATCTTAATGCAACATGTAATAGAATTAAATTTTTCCTGCTGATAATACATATTTTGATATGAGAAATGAAGTAGGGATAGGCTGAAATAGAATGGCAGGAGATATGGCCACAGTCTTTAATCCCCTATTTTCTTGACCTGCAGATTTTCTCATTTGGAGAAGCTCCAGGGTTCTCAAGCAGAATTCGTGTTTCATTTTGTGTAGTACCTGTCAGAAAGACAAGCCAGACATGAGGATACATGATGAGCACTCTTCCGAGTTGCCATTTGGAGCTGGCCATTTAATAAGGCACATCTTCCTTTCCCTCATTCCTAGTTTCCTAAAGCCTCTTTTAAGTGTCACCTTTTCCTTGAAGCCTACTTGACCACACAGTTGAAAACTGCAAAGCCTTCACACAGCAGCTTCCCTTTTCTTTGTTGCTTTGGGTTTCTCCATGGGACTTCTCACCATCCATAAAAAATAGGGTTTTTTTTTTTTGCCGGTTTTATTCACTGCTACATCTCCAGTGGTTAGAACCTGACATTTAGTAGGTGCTCAAAAAATTGGTTGAATTAATGTATAATAGCTTCACTTTCTTGAGTAATTACTATATATCATGAACTGTGTGGTAAATTATCTCCATATAATGCCTGTAATCTTTACAATGCCTCTAACCCTATAACATAAACCATTTTATATCCATTTTACACATATGCAATTTAAAGGACAGAGAGGCCCACACATTTGCATAGGATAATTCTGGTGAATAAGAAATTTGAGTTGTTTTGTCTTTCTATAGGCTGCTTCTTATTATTACTACTATTACTATTTTGAAATGTAGTCTTTCTGGGTCACCCAGGTTGGAGTGGAGTGGCGCGATCTAGGCTCACTGCAATCTCTGTCTCGCAGGCTCAAGTGATTCTCGTGCCTCAGTCACCTGAGTAGTTGAGATTACAGGCTCACGCCACCACGCCCAGATAATTTTTGTATTTTTAGTAGAGAGTTCACCATGTTGGCCAGGCTGGTCATGAACTCCTGGCCTCAAGTGATCCACCAGCCTAGGCCTCCCTCCCAAAGTGCTGGGATTACAGGCAGGAGCCACTGCACCCAGCCTTAATTTTTTCTTTTCACAATTTTTTTTCCATTTTAAATTAAACGTCTTTGGATTTTAAAAAATGCAGCATTTCTCTTCTATCTTATTAAACGTATCCTTGAACTTCAGGGAGTGGAGAATAGTTGTCTGGAAAATGAGACACTTCCTTTTCTTTGTTTTTGAACTTACAAGTTCCACATTCAGAGATCTCCATTATCCGCCCTTCACTGAATGTAAGTATGATGCATTTAAAATACGGCTTGTGTGAAAGCAGGATATTATAACCACAAAAATATCTGACTTTAAAATTAAGTAAAATACTCAACATAGCCCAGAATGGAGACACGGGAATTAATTCTATGGCTGTGGCAGATTTGAGGGACAGGGTGGTACCAAAAATTGAGATTTACAGGGAAGGAGATTTTTAAGAATTCAGTTTTCATTAACTTCCCAAATCAAAAAGCCAGCATATTCTATTTGATAGGAAATTACACAGGAGTGAAAAAAAAAAATCCACAATTCAGCTGATTAGAAAACAAGGTTTCATTAAACTAAAATTTATTAAATTTTTAAGAAATTTATAACCAGCTAGCTTCCAAAAATTTGCTCCTCAATATTGCTTAGTAAAAAGTTTTCTTTCCCTTTATATGCTATAATAACATAAACTGCCTACGTGCTATCTATTTTGGAAGCGGAATCATAGAGGGGCTAAGTGTTACTGAAGGCTTATTATTTTCCAGACACTTTGCTAGTCACTTGACATATGTAATCGCATTTTATTCTCATGGAGACTCTGTGGGGACTTCCTTTAAAAATGAAAGACCTGAAGTTCAGATATTTTGAGGCTCAGATGGTTTAAGATGCATTTCATCATGTAATAGACAGTGGAGCCGATCTCCAAGTCCAGGTCGGATTTTTCCTGAAGCACATGATTTTTTCCTATTATCCCAAAACCTCATCCATAAATATCATGCAGAACCTATGTAGTTGCTCATGATTATTATAGAGAAAGTTCTA